TATTCTTCATATGTAATTTAAAAGCAAGTTTTTCTTTGTAAAAACTTCAATTGAATTTCAATAAAGTTAAAGGCATGATCTCATCATTAATATTTAAAAAAAAATAAAGTATTAAATATAAAATAGTATTTGTATTATTCTTTACAGATATACTTACTATTTTAGATTCAGTTTGCATAATTGCAAAAAATATAATAATCTGCCCTATTTATTGAATTTAACTGTTATATATCTAATTCTTTGCTATAATAGACTTTATTGTTATTATTCTTCTCTAAAAATAACTTATAAATAGTAAAAAACATTATAATCTTAAAGGTTGCAGTTAAATTTTTTGTTTATTAATTTTAATAAATTAATATTTATAAATATCAAAAAAATTTTCAAATTATAATTGAAATTGTATTAAATAATTGCTAAAAGAATAAATTTGTAATATTTAAAAAAATTATTTTATTAATATATTAAAAGAAATGTTAATATTAAATATATTATTATTTTAAATTTTTAAAATAATTTTTATATATAAATTATATAATAAAAGTGTTATACTTTCTAATTTTATATTATAATTTTTGAATTTTATTTTTAAATTATTTGTTATTATAACTTAACTAGTGCTAATTTTTTGAATTCATAAAAAGAATTAGATATATACATATTAAGGTTTTTTTAAAAAATAAAAAGAAAGAATATAATTTTAACTTTTTTCGATATAAATATCTTATTTTTTATATTTTTTAGTTATTAGTTTAAATATATTTTTTCAATTAAACTTTATATTATTTTGAATAAAATAATGAATTTAAAACAATAATATTTGAAAATAAAAACTATAAAATAATAATATATAAGAATTGTTCTTTTAAATTTTTATTAACAAAAACCAATTTGTAACAATTGTATATAATTTTTTTAGTTAAAATATTACCAATCAAAAAGTTGTTTTAAAATAATTTAATATTAAAACTATTATAATAAATGTTAATAAAACTTTATTTATAATAAGATTAAAAACTTCTTTACATAATTGCAATTTTAAATTTGATTATTGAAATCAATTTATATAACAAACATATAAAATTTTTTGTTAGAATATTATCAATTGTAAAAATTGATTTTAAAATAATTTAGTATTAAAACTATCAGAATAATATTTAATAAAATTTTATATACAATATGATTAAAACCTTTTTACATAATTATGATATTAAATTTTTAGTTATCAAGACCAATTTATGTAAAAATTTGAATGATTTTTTAATTAGAATATTTAAGATTACAAAAATTGATTTAAAACAATCCAACATTAAAATTATCATAATAGCATTTTATAACAATATGATTAAAACCCTTTTTACACAATTGTAATTTTTTTCAAAAAATTTAATTATCAAGACCAATTCATGACAAACGCTCATCTTTTAACCAGAACATATACGTATTATGAAACAAAAGAAAAAATGGTTAAAAATGATTGATTAATTAAAGTTTTTAAATCGTAACTTCATTTAGTTATATTATATGCTAGAGAAAAATTATTTGTATATGAATTGCATCAATTTTTTTGACCGCTTTTTTTTTGATAGTAATTTAATAGTAAAGATGTATTAATTTTGCCGATCAATTGAATGCATAAAATCCGACCATAGTAGTATTATTATTGATCTTTACATAATTTTGCCCAATTGGTATTTGAAATACCCTGAAACATGTATATATGTGAGTTCACGTAACACCGCAACAGTTTGACCGGTTAATCAATGTTGTGCAGCATTATTATTTGTTTATAAATAAACTATGGCGAAAGAATTTATATTATTTTACGACATTTATTTAATGTTTGGTGAGATTATGCAGATACATATCAGATATATATCGAATATATATCAAATATATATCAAATATATATTAGATATTAACAACTTTAATAAAATAAATTCCTAAGGTTAGAAAGTAACGGTAACACAGTAAATTTTTCCGAAATTAGGATAGTCTAACACCAAATTAAGAAGCTGACATCTGAATTTAAAGCTTAGTGGTGCACGTATAAATTCTTATATAATATAAATTGCCATAATTATCTAGATTCAAAACTATAATACTTGTAATCATTTTATGGTTACTCGGTTATATGTTATGTTACTCGGCCGTTATTCGAATATAATATGTGAGAACAATTAAAAACCACATTAAAAGAATCATACAAAAAGTATTTCTTGACAACATAAATTTTGAAAATTTATGGCATTAATCTATAGTAATTTATCTAATGAAAGACACCACATCTATTAGTGTTCCTGAAAATATCTTTGCAACATGGCTAGTCGCTATAGCCTTCGCATTAACATTAGATTCATTCAGTCGAGCTTTGGTAGAGAAAAGCATTGGCAAAGGATATCGACTTCTTATTCTCATAAACATTTCAATCCTTATCAATGAAATGCTTATGCCTTTCATCATGTCCGCAAGCTCATTTTGTACGAGTACTGCAATATCAGGACCAAATTGTGCATATGTAGTAAGCTTTGCAAAATGCCCGACTACCACAAATGTATTGTTATATCTTTGGATATACCCAATTATACAATTCTTTTATTTCCTATCCAAACCCTTCTTGTTACATCTTGCATATATACGTTGTGCGGCAGTATTTCGGCCATTTAGAAGCGCTGGATTTGTATGGTTTCATCGAGTCATAATGACATTACGCTTCCTTGAGCTGTTTACAATTTTCATAATTAGTATCGTCGATAGCTCTCAATGTTCTGGATCATACTGCTCTCCTTTATGTATGACCATACTCATAATTTATAAGATACGAGAATCTGTAGTGATCGTCTTTCGCCTTTATTACATAGTTTGCGAGTCATTATTTTATAAGAAGTTATTTTATGAGATAAGAAAGATTCGTAATGATACTTTTACATTACGAACACTTTATCACCAAACCACATTATTCACTATTGATATAATCCAATTAGCAACGATATGTATTTTCCGAACGGCAAGACTTTTAGGTGCTGATTTGCCAACTTATACTTATGCAGAATTATTTAGTACAGCATTTACTGTTTTTGTAATGACCAAATTTGTTGATAGGATTCCTAGTTTACTTGATGATCATTAAGCTTATAAATATCATTTATCTAGATTATTCCTATACATGTATCTGAACTTTTTATTATTGTATTTTAATGAAGTAATTTCCGGTTCTTTTAAATCAAAAAATTTCAAGTTCTTGAGTTGAAATCATTGTATAAAACTTGTTGTATTTATTACCTTAAATGCATCTACCTGTAGAATCATTTTCTCACAAGTCATATATATATGTTTGTATGCTAGATTCAATTAATTCTTTAATCGATTTCATAATCTTGAAATAGGCTACAAATAAAATATATTTTGCAAAGGTCCTAAGATAATTAATCATAATAATTAATCGACTATCTTATAATCAATCGTAATTCCTTGGTATCTGGCATGACAATACATATATGTCAGCAAAAGCATATGACAAAAGACCATACACTGACTCATACATGACCCATACACTATACTGCAGATTTTTATATTAAAATAATCATAAGATTTTAATAAAAAAAAATTGCGTAATAATGTAATACTGTAATAATGTGAAAAATTTCCGTGAATAATTTCCGTCAATGTTTGTATAGTATCTGCCAGATAACAGAAACGTACTTAAGTGATATTCGGACACGTGTTTTCGTCACGAACTTTGAAGGTCCATGTATTTACGTGATATTGTCCTGCTTGAAGTTACCGATTTAGGCACACTTGACTAAAATTAACACCTGAAATTTGCCCGCGTTAGTTAGTAGTTTTAGACAGTTTCAACTTCAGGCGCTTGAAGTTACAATTTGGTGCAGATGCTAACTTAAAGCATGATAATATCATATAATTGTAAAGTTACTTAACAATTTATATAAATTTGTGTAGTATTGTCGAATGTCTGTAGCAATGCATAAAATATTCATGAAAAATTATGTAAAGTCATATAAATTCATGTAGTTTTTTACCTAGTAATTTTGTAGAAAAAAGTTCGTCAAGTTTACTATTATTCTACCGATACCGTGTATCTACCACATCATGCCAGTTGGGCCGTTTGAAGTTAATTCTTTGGTTAACATCACTTTCAGAACTCTTGGGAAGGATGGAATAAAATGAAACGAACATATAAAATGAAAAATATGAGTCGATTTGATTGGTGAGAGTTATCCAGTGTTTTCATTGGTTGTTCATTTTTTGGGAGGAGACTTCAGCTGAGGGAGGGGGATGATGTTAACCGAAGGATCAACTTTGAACGGCCTTATACTGTATGTAATTATACATGCAACATTGAAATTTTAAAATTAGTTAGTGTGCGTTTTTACCATGTTACAGGAGTGGTAGTCAAATCTCCTTAAATGCAACACATAGGTGCCAACTTGCATATAAAAGACAAATTGCATTATATTGTATATATCCGGTAAAAGTTAAATGTTGTATTTAAGGGGATGTTACATTTAAAGAGGCGTTACTCTTAGAAGGTTGTAATTTAGAAAGTTCTAACTGTATTGATTACATTGTTACTATTTGAACGTCCTGATCAGTACGATGAATATATCAAAACCGTACTACATTAAATATGTTCACAAATATAATTGTTTTAAAATTCATATATTTTAAATAACTATTTTAAATAACTACTAATTTATTTTTTTTTAAAGTATTATTTTAAAATAAAGATTGAGTAACAACTTTATATAAAAAGTATATACTGTACTGTACTTATCAGTTAAATTTCTAATCATAATTACACAACTTTAATATGTCATTATATTAATCAATAACCGATAGCAAATAATAATAATAATCGATATGATACGTAGTAAATAACCGATAGATAATTGTGATCGATTGGTAACCGGATAAAAAATAAAAGAAAGCAGAAAAATGTCCGACAAATTATTGTGTACCACGAGGACAAATTGATTTGAAATAGAGTAACACCATCGAACTTAAAAAGCTTTATGTTTTATGAGCAATAATTAAGTAATTTAGTCAATAAATGGCGTAATACTATGCACACAAAAAACATAAACATAACGAACGTCTGTCAAGGAGTGCATACAGATTAATATCTAGATACATATGTAGTACATATGCACACGCAATTTCTTGTCAAAATTGAAACGATAACTGTATTACTGTACATACATACCTAAATATGAAATAAGGTTCCATGTTTAATTAGAGTATACATGCGGATTTTCTTATGGTTAAAAGCATAAAAAACCCTTAAAAATGATTTCTTGAATTGTATAACCTATTTAGTCGATAGATGCATTTTTTTTTAAAATCAATAAATAAATAACAATTGCTAAACTATGCATGACTTTATTTTTTTCATAGAAATGTTTTTTTTTTAAAAAAAATTCTGAATAGACTAAATGAATTAATTAATTATGAATATTTTGATGATTAATTATTTCGCATTAGTATGTACAGTACAGGTTATCATTGAATTAATAGATGTCGATGTAATACAAATTATATAGTTACACGAACATAAAAGGAAATATTTAATGAAAAAACAATTAGAGTTTTCACAAATTAAAATATATCGATATTGGGATAATCTCTAACCCTTAATAAAGTGTATTTTTAAATCCTAAATTTGTTGAACATTATATAATTTACAATATTGTGCTTGCAGTTATATTTTCGGTTAGCATTTATTTTCAGAACTATTATTAATACTATTTCAAATTAGTACTATTTCAGAAGTATTAGAAAACCAATACAATTTATTCATTGTTATTGATATTATACGGTTTACAGAATAATAAGCTAATATTCGAATCGATATTAAAACGATTTGAGATCGATTTTAATATTCAATTTTTAAAAAATGATTCAATGGTTTCTTTACATTTACATAACTAAGTTATCTACTCCAGAAGTCGTCGATTCTATTTAATAAGCTTAATGAATTTCTTTTTTTTTAACTTTAAATCCTTATAGTATTGTACATGTGTCACATTGAATTTTAGTTCACAAATAGATTAGTAAAAATTACCTTTAAAAGATTATGATGGTGAAAGATGGTGATTGATCGCAATTACAATGAATATAGAATGTAACAAATATTAAACTTTATAAAATTTTTGATCGATCAACCATCTTTAAACAATCTTGTTTAGATAATCACCTAACCAGGAAATATTAAAGACCTCGTGATTATGCCACATTTCCTATTTTGACGTATGTAAGCAAACCTGATTTATCGTCGATTTATTAGGTTAGAGTAAAGCAGGTTAAAACCATGTTTCAAATTTTGGTCAGAATCTGTGTACTGTACCAGTACTGTATTTGAGAACTATTCAATGTAGCTAACACTAAGGTAATAGGTATGTTTCATAGTCGTTTGCGTGTAAGGATTTTATTATGTCTGTATGTATAATGTATAATGATGTGAAAAGAGAGAGAAATATATATATATATATAGTTATATAGTTATATTATACATGCTAAGAATAAACTATTTAAATCTATTTTCACAAATTTCGAATATTTCAAATTCATCTACTTTAAAATAACCTTCAGAATCTCTAATTGACCTAGTATAATGCTTATTTTTACACGACCATTTATTTCTAATGTTCACATTACAAACAAAAAAAAGATCATTACTTCCACCAAAAGAAGGACCGTAATCATTATCATAATAAATTGCTTTGTTTATATTTTTAACACGACTAAGAATAGATTTATTTTTTTTAAATGAAAAAATAAAACTTTTATCAGTTTTTGCATATTTATTCGAAGCCGATTTCCATTCAAGAGGATTAAAACCACCAAGAATTTCATCAGTTCCATCAACTTTTAATGCCACAATTGTCATAGATTTATGATCGCATAAATTATGAAATGCATTAACAGTGAAACCATCTCTACTACCTCTAAAAATTAATTTAAATTCATAAGGAATATTTTCAACTTGATACGGGGATGATTTTTGGTCTATCCATGAAGAAATTTCAGCTGCATATTCTTTAGTAATTAGAGAATCTGTTAATATAAGTGGTAGTTTAAGGGTTGTTGATATAGTAACATCTCGATTTCCGAACTTTTCAATTAAACTTGCAACTCCTGAAAGAAATTTATATTTTTTAGAAATCGAGTTTTTTCTTAAACTAGCATCATCAGCCAGTAAAGTTAATTCATCTATAGATTTATCATCATGAATTGAGCCAACTTCACCTTGTGTTACAACTTTATCCGGTTTCTTTGGTGGTTCATGAATTGATTTTTCATCACGATCAGAGTATTTCTCAACACGGTCAAAATATTTCTCAACACTATCAGGGTATTTCTCATTACGTTTCTCATCACGATCAAGGTATTTTCCATCACGTTTCTCATCATGATCAAGGTATTCCTCATCATGTTCAAGATATTCCTCATCATGTTCAAGGTATTCCTCATCATGATCAAGATAATTTTCATCAGGGTATGCATCTACAATTACTTTATCTAGTTGTAATCTTGAATAATCATTTATAATATCATCTACAATAAACTTGTTAGGTTGTGATCTTGAACTATTAGTTCTCTTCAAAGGTTTACCAGCAAACCCGTTATTGGATTTTATAGAAGTTTTAGTAATCGTGGTGCCAGTAGATTTCATCGAAGCCTTACTAACTAAGGTATCGCTGGATTTCGTCGAAGTTTTACTAAGTAAAGTGTCACTGGATTTTTTCGAATCTTTATCATCATTATAATTTGTATTTTTATAAGCCTTTTCGATCTTTAAAGCTAATCCATATTGCATTTGTAAAACATCATAAACAGTTTTGATATCTGGTCGTTTATTTGGATAATGATCCCAACAAATATTGTAAAGTTTAATATATCTATTAGGTGTGTTCTTTGCAGGAATTTCCCTTTCACCATCTGATACAAAGAAAGCAATTTCTAAAGGACTATATGACTGAAATGGTTGTTTCCCACTAGAAATTTCCCAGAGAATAACGCCTAAACTATAGATATCTGATTTTTTATCTAGTTCGTAATCTGAATTTCTTTGTAAACATTGTGGTTCAAGATATGCTGGCATAGTTAATAAATTATCTGACTTGTTTGTAAGTCCTGAATCAGTAATCATTATATGACCTTGATGAATTAAAATATTCCTAGAATGCTATATATTATTAAAAAAAAATAAATAAAAATCTTTCATTCACTTTTCATTTTTATAAAAAATTCATTTTAAATTTTTTTATAATATTACTTACAAGACCCTTATGAATAAGATTATGTTCATGTAGAGACATAAGCCCTTGAGCTATTTCTGTTGCAATTCGTAATTTATCTGTCCATTTCATTTCGGAAAAGTTTTTTTCTAGGTACTCTCGTAAATTTCCACCATCAGCATATTGTAAAACCATATAATATTCGCCAAATAAATCTGTTAAATATATATCAATCATATCAATTAGTTAAATTATTAATTTTAATATTTATTATTACACTATTCACATACCTTTAGTTAACCCATAAAAATTGATTAGATTCGGAAAACTACAGACCTGCTGCAAAAGACGAAGCTATAAATTCATCCAATTAAATAAATTATAGTATATTAATTAGTATCATATTAATTAATATAATTAATTGATATTATTAATTAATATCGATTACTTCATTAGCAAACACTTTAAGTTTCTTCTCGTCCATTCCTTTCATTTCGATAATTGTTTTTAAACTTTTATGAACAACCATTAGATTAAGTTTCCTCCATTCGTATATACATATTTTCTCATTTGTTACTATATCAACCATTTGATAATGAAACTCATCATAGTTATATTTATTAATGAAATGTTTTGAAATAAAATTTTCAAAGCATTCGATCGATGGAGCCGTCGTATTCATATTATTATAAAGGAATGTTAATAGACGGTATAATGAAATTTAATGAAATTTGAGGTCAAATGTTCCAATTTCTTAATTCTTTATATAACGATTATAAATTTTTGTAATCAAAGTTTCCAAATATTAATCTTAAAATAGAAATATTTAATTTTATACTAAATTTGTTATTGGCAAATATGACAGTATGATACACCAGGATTTGTGTTTCTGACACAAATACATATCTGCATGTACATTACTACATACATTAGTACATACATTAGTAAATACATAAGTGCAGATAAACACTCACCAACTACTAGTGAGCCGAAAAAGATTCCACAACAATAATTAACGTTAAAAGCTTTTTAATAATTTTGCGAATAAACTATAAAATAAACTATATTTAATTAACTGTTGAATTAACTATAAAATAAACTGTGAATTATCTATTGAATTATCTATTGAAATTATCTATTGAATTAACTATAGAATAAACTATAGAATAAACTATAGATCTAATAGATTAATATAGATTTCGATGTTACAATTTTCCGATATTGGTTTTGTCAAACCTTTCAACAATTTTCCGATACCACCCGATGCTAAACCATATTTTTCAATGTAAACAACTTTACAAATCTTTAAAATTGGTCTGTATTCCATGTATTGTGAGATTTGGTTGACCTATCACAAAAAAGGGTAAGTGAAAACCCTTTAATTGACCACTTTTTTTGCATTCATTTGCAATAGTAAATTACTATATTCGTAAATAGTACAATAGGATAATCGATATCTTTTAAATTTTAACCTAATACTAATTAAATACTAACTAATTCAGGAAACTTAAAGTAAGAAGTAGATATTTCCTATATTCATATACTTTATTATATCATACTTTAACAGAACAATCAAAATCTTTGATAACCTCGACTAAGTCTTTTACGTCGAATAATTCATGTAATAATAATTTACATAAACAATATTTAAATTTATCCCTTACCTATTCTTGCAGATTATTTATCCTTGATTAGTTATATTCAAATATAATTAATTTAATTCGCTTATTAATCTATATGTTTCAATTTAATGTATCTATTTTGACTGGATTTACGGATTTTCCCGATTAGCATGTCAATATATATATATATATATATATAATTTTTCCCAGACATGTACGTACTTCCTGAATTGAAACTTGGGGGAAATTAAAATAGACACATATGCTGATCGATGATCTGCGTGACAATATTAACGTTTAATATACTATCTATCACCTTATATAAATTATACATATTAACCTTGTATAAATTATATTAAAAAAATATATTAGCCTTGTATAAATTATACGTATTAAAAAATATATATATTGATATAGTATTCGGAAAAAACTAGTACCTGGGTGTAACCAAGATCTATGCATTATTGATTGAATTGATTGATGAAATTAGATAACAATTGTATTAAGGAGTATACCTAGCCACGATATTTGAAATTTACCAATTAGATTACAGACAAATTAAAAATTTTTATCCTTAAAAGTTTAGATGTAAAAGTTCCTTATTTTTAGCATATAGTAATTGGCTGAAGCTGAAAGAAGCGAAGTGAAAGCCTTTAAGCTATACTCTACAAATTTTCGGAAATGTCCGGTTTCCGGTTACACTGATCCAAATATTAGGTTGCGCATCCAGAGACTAAGTTCAACGTTTGGATACCAAAATTTTGGTTTAAAATAATATATCTGACTTTTAATTTTATATTAACTGACTCTTAATAAATGAATAGTTTATTTATTAGCATGACCAACAAAAGGGCTCGGGCATGTGAACGAATGTATCATGTTCAGCTGTGACTTACATATGTACGTTGTGAAAAGATAAATCGACGCTAACATAGGTAGAATCGAATTTACCAATAAGGATCGGGCTCGATGCATATACTGTGTATTTTCTACGTTTTGAACAAGTGTCATACGTAATGAACATGTACCACATAGTTAACATAGTTAACATGGTAAGCATAGCAAATATAGTTAACATAATAAACATAGTGAACATGGTAAACATATTGGATATGTTGAACATAATTAATATAGCGAATATAATCGTTTTATATACTTCATAAGGATGTAAACAATATGAAATACTCGTCTTTTCACTTAAGGGTAGATTATTTTATCATATGATTTGCATGTTCAATTAAAATTTTTATAAAAAATTGAAAGATGTTAATAATATAACTTTTTATAATTATATTTAATTTTTATTAAAATTTTATAGTACATATATTAAACCATATTTTTTATAATGGTATAAAATTTAATAATCAAAATATTAAAAAATTTATACTTGTATATATTGTAAGATTTTTTTTAATAACTTTAAAGTAGAAGGTATGTAGTTTATTTTTTATATAATTTTTGTGATACAATATGATATTTACAAAAAATAAAACTTTGCTACTAATAAAATTTTTATTATTGTAATTAATTTTATTAAATTTTTATATAATATAAAATAAGATATATTTTTTATAATAATAAAATTTTTAATAAATAAAATATTTTAAAAAAATATACTTGTATATATTGCAAAGTTCTCTGTAGTTTTAAGAGGTATGGTAACCTAGTGAAGTGGTCAAGTTATTGACCCCAAGTAGCAGGTCTAAAGTTCAAATTCTAGTGTTAACAAAAAATTGAAAATTTTTTTTGTGTTACAGTTAACTGTTTTTTACTATTGGTTAGGATTAGATATCTGTTATTTACATCATAACAGTCTTACTGAAAGGTCACATGGCATTTGTGCAATAGTTATATCTTGTATAAAGAAATACAAACTTGTACTAGGCATTATGAATCTATGATAAGTCTCTATAATCATGTAAATTACAAAAACTAGAAAGACAAAAACCTACTTGAAAGACTCAAGTAGAGAGGTAGTCTGAACTTTCAACAATGCTACTGTAAAGATTAGATCTATGAAATGGAGCTAAAACTTGTGAAGTCAGACAAATATGCTGGTTTTTGGAAAGAAACCAAATAAATCAACTAGGCTTTTAGAATTTTCAGATTTTAAAGAAAAAAAGTATATACTAGAAAACATGTAAACCAGAGATATATAGTTATGTTCTATTTTTTCAGACTATCTGAGTTGACAGCTTGGTAAAACTTGAAATGAATACCAAAGTAGTAAAAATATGTTATAAAATAAGTACTAAAATTAGAATAAATTTTACAATAGTATAGTAGTTTAAAATATATTCTAACTGCAAGTATTAGTCTTAGCTATAACATTACTGAGTCAGCTATAAAAATAAAATATAAAAGATTTTAAAAGATTTAATATAAAATCAAAGGTTTTTTATATAAGTATTCTACTTTAAAGACTTAATAACTATAACATATTTGTAATGATATTAACTAAGACATCTTAGTAAATGTAGATAGGTAGTGGATATAAAAACTAGAGTGTTTAAAAGAAAATTTACAATCAGATTTCAGGTTTGATAGCTAATATAAAACCTTTAGACAAACTACTTAAATTAGACAATAACTAAAGTTATACAAATGACTAGTTATGCACTCTTTCTATAGTTGCTCTCTGTAGTTGTAATGCAACTATTAGCTAAATATACTATTAATAAAAATTCCAAGTTACAAGTACTTATCTTAATATTTAAAAAAAATTAAACCTTTTAAATGAATTACTTAAATTAGACAATAATTAAAGCTATATAAATAGCTAGTTATACCTCTTTTTATAATTGCCTTTTGTAGTTGTAATATAACTATTAACCAAAATATAGTATTAATAAAATTTTAAATTATAAGTATTTATCTTAATATTAAAAAAAAATTATATATATATATAATTTTTTTATATACTTCAAATTAAAATATTTAAAAATAAAACAAAAACT